CCGTATAAAAAAATGTTCAATATTTGGTCCCATTTTATTCCCATTCAATAAAAGAAAATAATGGTACACATGTGCAGAAAATTATCACGTCGATATTATATTTCTGTAACATGTGCTCATTTAATACCGATAAAGCATGGAATAGCTACAAGCCTGCACCGTTTCCTTTAAATGATGTCTTATTTTGGATCCAATTTTTTTTTTGTTGAACCCCCAATTTTCCAATAGATGGGTCATGGGTGAACTTTCCAATCAAATTTAATCCAATTTTGAATTGAATAACAAATACGGCCCTAAAATCGGTGAGATTGTTTACCGAAATGGGTAAATTCAAATTGAAATGCATAAAGATTATATATCTTATTACGCTGTAGAAAAGGAATATATGTATATATCTCATTCAAATTAAAGATTATATTACTACCAGTCTACCATCTATCCAAACCGTAAATGAAAATTAACATTATATCAAATTATTTTATTGTTCAAAACTTATGAACGAATATGATTGTCGTTTTAGGGTATGTTTGGCACAAATAGGTGAAAAGATACTTTTGTGAGATTTTTAACCACTGTTAGCTTTTAGTGACTGAAAAAATCTTAAAAAGAAAAGGTGATAGATGTTTGGTAAAAAGCTGATTGTTTGATTTAGATTATGTTTGGCACAACTAGCTGAAGAGATACTTTTTTGAGTTTTTTTAGTAATTGTTAACTTTTAGTGACTGAAAAGATCTTAAAAAGAAAAGTTGATAGCGGTTTGGTAAAAAACTGACTGTTTGATTTAGTTCTGTTTGGTAAACAAGCTGTTAGGATTAATTAATACTAAAAATCACGAGCTTTTCTCAGATGCTACACCCGGTAGCATCACAAAAAAGATCTTTTAATTTTTGAAAAGCTCTTAAAAAATGTAATGTCAAACATTCAACTAGAGTCATTTAAGATCTTTTTAAAGAATAGAAAAGCTAGAAGTTAGAGGCTTTTGTGTGCCAAAAATAGCCTTAGTTTGGTTTGGTAAACAAGCTGTTAGAATTAATTATACTAAAAGTCACCAGCTTTTCTCAGATGTTACTCCATGTAATATCTCAAAAAATGATCTTTTAATTTTTGAAAAGCTCTTAAAAATTGTCATGTCAAACATATAACTAAAAACTTTTAAAGACTTTTTGAACAACACAAAAGCTAGAAACAGGGACTCCATTTCCCAAAATGATATTCCTATTTTTATTTTTATTGCTGAAAAAATCCTCTTCATTTCTTTCTGGTTTAAAGTAAATAATCATTGTCTTTTTTTATAATTTGATTTTAACTAAATGCCAAATATACAAGTTCAATTAATTACTTTTTACAAAAATAATAAAGGAAAATAAATAATGGTTTGGATTGACAGGTATTTTTTTTACTCGATTATTAATCCAGTTTTGTTTGGAAGTGTGGTACTTTGGTATATCCTTATGGGTAACGAACAAAATAAACATATATACTCCGTATATGCGGAATTAAACATACCGAAGTACTTCATATATCTTCAAAAAAAAGTACTCCATATATCTTACATACTGGGCTTTCCGTTCCATAAATTCTACATCGAGCCTAAAGCAATTAAAGATCGGGCTTAATATAAAGATCCATAATAGAGGCCTTTTGTGATCCACAAAGAATAGACAATTCTTAATTTAAAGACCACAATTTTATTAACAATCCTCCAAAATTAGTAACTGATTACAATCACCCCGTCTTTAAAAATTCATTTCTTACCAGTAAAAATTCATTTGACCTATCTATTTAATCAAAGACCTAAATTAGTTATTATGTTTCACATATGAAACACTTTTTAATTATATGAACCAAATTGTATCTCTCTAATTAGATAGAATAAAAAACATAAATTGATATCCTGACCCAATAGTTGCGATACTAGGAGGCCGAGTCAATGTACTCTATCAATATAACACACTTCCTCTTAAGTATGAGCACTAATAACTTTTCCAATATTCAATTGAAACATGAATAAGGTATGACACATTATTTTGAGGTGAAAACCTGAAAGGTAAAAATCGCACGGAACTTTTCAACAAGGTGATAATTTAAGAAGAGAGTTCAATTCCTATTTATGAAGGGATATCATTGTATTTGATTTTTAGGAGAAAAGGGGTCCATTTTTAATCATCGTAATGGGCCACATACAGGCCGGCTTATACGAGCAGATGCAAAGCAGGCTAGCTTCGGCCTCATTCATTGTCGATGGGATACGATCGAGCCATATCAGCTTACAAGTTATGCAAAGAAAAAGGGAAAACTGTCAAATAGGTCCTCGAACTTTCATAAAAAGGTCAATTAAGTCCTTCTATAGGAGGTTTTGTCTGGCCGTCGCGATTTGAGGCAGTTCCCGGTGGAATTTTTTGATGAAATTTTTTGAGCATCTTATTCACCAAGTCTAGTTTACTCATACCAAATTTCAGCTAAAAATTCAATCGGGAACACATTCAAATTAATCCTTGAAGATAACTGCGCATTTTTGCGTTCTCGAATTAATTTGAATGCGTTCCCGATTAAATTTTTAGCTGAAATTTGGTATGAGTAAACTAGACTTGATGAATAAGATGCTCAGAAAAATTCATCAAAAAATTCCATCGGGAACCGCCCCAAATCGCGACGACCGGACAGAGTCTCCTATAGAAGGACTTAATTGATTTTTTTATGAAAGTTCGAGGACATATTTGATAGTTTTCCCAAAGAAAAATGTCGAGAACAATTATATTCTTTGCAAAAAATTAAAGAAAGAAAAAATTACACTGAAGCAAACGAAAAAATAAAGAATAAAATGTATTTTAGCACAAGTGCACAACCCACCTCAATATTTCCATAAATATTGGGGTATACCGCACTTACCGTACCAAAAAATACCGGAAAATACCGAAATATTGGTATACCGTCATTTTCGGTACGGTATCATACCGTACCGATCAATTTCGGTACGGTAACGGTAAATGTTTTCAAATACCGCGGTATACCGGTATAATACCGTACCGACTAGCTCCCTACTCAACAATTACTTTTAATTCTAATATCTTGTAAAAATCCATTACAATTTTGAAGCCCAAAATTAATACTTAAGTTGGTTACAAATACAAAAATACAAAAATAAAGGCCCAATTTGTCAAACCCACTATAACCTTATATGCTTCTACTAAGCTAACCTTAATGACTAATGAGTAATGTACAAATGTCAAGAAACAAGTTCATCTTGTTCCAAGAGCTTGCAAGTCGTGATGGCTGAGCCACTAAGTAGCTGACGAGTGAAGAGAGATACACTTATGTGACAAGTGTATATCTACATAAGGATTCCGTGAGTCGAGACACATAACTTTGTCCGAAAGTGTTATTCAATTTTTAAAAAATTATAAAAATGACTAAATACACAATATCATATTAGGAATAAATGATTTTATATGCATGTTAGTTGAATAGTTTTATTTATTTTTGTTAGAGATAACTATTGATTTAATTATATCTATATTGTTCAAGTTATTTTAGGAGAATGTGTTACTTTTTAATATGTGGCATGTTGAACTGCTTAAATATACTAATAATAATTGTTGTTCAATATTGAATTGACATCAATAGATTATTAATTGTATTTCGTAACATTTTAATAATAGATTTAATATGTCGCTAGTAATAACGATTTAGTATATTTCATTAATTTATGATAATTTTTGTATTGGGAGACATGCACGATAATTTACCGATACCGTTCCGTTACCGAACCAAAACTTCGGTATACCGAAATGCTGTATACCGAAACTTCGGTATACCGAAATGCGGTATACCGAAACTTCGGTAAGGTACAAGTGTGCAAATTTTGCATACCGAAAGTTTTGGTACGACAAAAGTATGAGAAAAAATATAAGGTATATCGTACCGAACCACCCCTAAATATAGCATATGAAAACATCTATGGTAGAGGTGGGTATGTTGCACATGCATACTACTTAACTGTGTGTAGTGAATATGCGGCTAAAAAACACTCGATGCATATCGGTAATTGCAATCAAATATATGTGCGCCAGCGTCTAACAACATACTTCGTATATAATTGGTTTAAGTTCGAAAAGATTACTCAAACTGCTTGAAAAGACTTAGGTGAATACAATTCAAATTAAAGCTCATTAGAGCAATGGTATGATTAAGTTTTATTGCAATCTAATGTCACGATCACCATACACATTGATGACAATAGAACTGTTGTTATAATTACTCATTCCAGAAAAAATATATGACAATAAACTCTTTCTATCTGATAAAACAATGTATCACAATTGATGTTCAATTCATTAATTATACATATATGTGTATATTATCTACATAAAGCGTTTATCAACGAACCCTTTCATGGTACATCTCAGTCCTAAAGCGTTTATCAACGATCCCTTTCCAGTCCAATATCACTAAATAAAACTTCATTTCTTTGTTACAAATTGCGTCCTCTTAGATTGGAAATAGTAATGAAAAGTTACATGGGTTTTCCAAAAATAATACTAAACAAATCTAATTGACAAAAATGGGACTACTTTTAAAATGTTTCAAAAATGAGACTAAAACTTCTACGCACCAATGACCAATCCGATCGTGACCAATCCAACCGTGACCAATCCGACCGTGATCAATCCAACTGTGACCAATCTGATCACAACCAATCCGATTGTGACCAATCCGACCAATGACTAATCCAACCGTGACCAATTTGACCAGTGATCAACCCGATCTTGACTAATACGAACCGTCACGAATCCAACCATGACCCCCTCATACCCACCCCCAGCCCCCCTTCCCCAGCCCCCAGCAGCCCCCCAGCCCCCCTCCAGCGACCCACAACCCCCCTCCAGCACCCTCACCCAGCCCCCTGCAGCCCTCTAGCACCCTCCCTGGCCCCCCTGCAGCCCTCTAGCACCCTCCCTGGCCCCCCTGCAGCCCTGCGGAACCCTCCCCCAGCCCCTATCCCCCATCCAACACCCTATCCAACCCTTGCCCTTCTCGAGCGGTGCAGACCCGCCTCTCCAAAGCTCGTCGCCGAGCTCGCAGAGGAAGACGAAGCTCGGCCCACCGACGTAAACTTTGACACTGCAGGGTCGTCGATGTTCGTGTCCATATCTCCATTTGTTCCGGCTGCCTCTTGAAGGCCTTCGTCTGTTGCGCAAGCTTTCAAAAGCGGACGGATCTCACGGTAGCAGAAGGGAGCGGAAGTCGTTGGGTCTCTTTTTTGCGTTTAAAAAAAATGGTCCTACTTTTGTCCAATCTAAAGTCCCAAGGGTTATTTTTGACATTATTTAAAAGTTAAATGGTCTCTTCGAGGCACCATGTTTTGTCCTTATTGACCAATGAGAGTATTATAGTTCAATAATTTAAATATAAATAAATGTTGAAATATTGACTTGTATCAATCAAATGTACGATACTCTTACTATACCTTTTTTATGAATACCATAAAAAAATAACAATCACCAATAGTAGTAATTATTGTACACATGTACGTAGATATGCGTGTATGTACATGTGTAAATATATAATAGTTGTACACGTTGTACTCTAATACCTTTAAATCACATCCATTTTTGTTATTAAACTGGAGTGTCAAATAGTACGTAATACAAGTATTTATCAAACCGGGTACGTAGTACATATTTACAATGGTGTTGTTTCCACCATCAAACAAAAACATCAATTTAAATTACAACTTAAAAAGTGCAGTCTATATATTCCAAACCATGAAGAATTTCAAAGTAAAATAGAGAAGTTTTCAACATGTTGGAGAAGTCAAAACTAGTAAACATTCTAATTAAATAAAGACTCTTAAAAAAACTTTTCGGAAAAGGTTGTACTACGTATATACTCCCGTGTAGAGAAATTTGGATATATATCCAAGTTTAAATACCCACCTTTAAGTTAATGTTATGTACTCCCTCCGTCTCGGGGAGAAGTTCCCAATTTCCTTATTTGGATGTCCCAAAAGAAACTTCTCATTTCCCTAAATGGAAAGTTATCCTACATTAAAACAGTCCCAAACAGTGCAAAACAGTGCCAAACAGTGTCGAAACAGTGTCAAACAGTGTCGAAACAGTGCAAAACAGTAAAATTTACCCCTCAGTAACTTTATTTCCTAAAAATGTGTGAAAGTCAACCCGGGAACTTCTCCCCGGGACGGAGGGAGTATTAACAAAAATAAAACAAATAGCCTTTTCTTGACTACTATCAATTTAGAATATGTATTTTATTTCAACATTACTACACCCGTATCAATTCTTCATGGGTCTATTATAAGCAAATCTCATGCAAAAGTGCTTTACACTTTATAAAATATAAATGGTTGCTACGAACTTTATGTATGCTAATTTAAAATGCTATATAATCATTTCTCCCTAATGGTAAAAAAGGCAATGGTCTCCACCATCAAACCAAAACATTACAATTACAACAAGGTAAAAGTGCAGTCGATCCCAAATCATAATGAAATAATTCAAAGAAACGACTACAAATTAACATATGAAAACTGAAGAACTTATATACAGTTAGAGGTTTCCCCCGAAATCCAAACACAGTCCACTTTAATACGACATCAACAAGCATTTATACACATGCATTTATAATAGATCCATATCCGCCAATCATTCATAGATAGATCGATACACCACACATCACACACACATATACACATATATTTGTATAGAGTGCTCTTCTCATCAGGCCGGCCTGACGGGATGCTCCGTCCGGCCGAGCCCATTTGGGCACCTTCCCGGTGGAATTTTTTGATGAAATTTTTTGAGCATGTTTCTCATCAAGTCTAGTTTGTCCATACCAAATTTCAGCTCAAAATTCGATCGGGAAGGTCGTCAAATGATTTTTGCAACTTAACTGGTCTGGAATATGTATTTTCCGGACCAGTTAACTTGCAAAAATCATTTGACGACCTTCCCGGTCGAATTTTGAGCTGAAATTTGGTATGGACAAACTAGACTTGATGAGGAACATGCTAAAAAAATTTCATCAAAAAATTCCACCGGGAAGATGCCCAAACGGGCTCGGCCGGACGGGGCAGCCCGTCAGGCCGGCCTGACATGAAGTTTCATCTATTTGTATATATATAAATGCATATACATAGACACACACAGATTTAGGATCAAACAAAAATCATGCTTCCCGAGTGAAGACTCCCTTCTAATTATATGAGATATGAAGTTTGTATATTGCACTTTTTATGTTATCAGAAAATTTGATTTATTTATCAAACTGGCACCACATTTTATTTGTTACTGTTGGCATGATTGAATCAAATTTGGAAGAATGCAACAACCTAGCTTCACATACTACTTCATATCAAATAGGGGGGGGTTTGAATTTACTTGCCATTTTTTTGGATTATTTGACTTTTTACCCCATTTTCAAAATATTTAATGTGTGCATCCCATTATTTAAGTAGAGAGCATAAAATTGTTAGACTTTGCACTATCATTTCACATTTTTTTGAAATGAAGGGTGCACACATTAATGAACTTAAAAAATGATCGTTCAAACGGGAATCATGATTTTCATTGGAACGGGATCCTATATGCATACACACATATATATACATATACATACACACATCCACACACACATGATCTACCATGTATATGATGATGATAAGGAGATGGAGGAATCGTTGGCGACTTCAGTCTCGACTTCCCTTCTATGAAAGTTGCGGTGGCAGCCGCAGGCAGCGCAGGTGAGGGCGCCATCGACAGCATCATCCCCACTGGGAATGAACTCAAGGCAGCCGTCAACGGCGTAGCCTCCGACGTTGGCGGCGTGATTCTTCTGACACTCGCCATACCTGATGATGGGGCGAACGGGTAAAGAAGCTGCGGAGCTTTGTGAATATTTGTCCTTCTTCACAACCACTTTTTGCCTTTCCATTTCGCTTCCCAGAGAGAGATCAGAGATAGATCGATGGTCTAGTTCAGGTGATCGATGTCTCAGAGGAAAACCCTAACCCTAGAGGCCCGCATATATTTATACACGCACATATGCAGTAGATATACTCGTCTAGCGCAAACCTTTTTTTATTTTATTTACTGCAGTAGAAAACCCTAACAGCCGGTAACACGTAAAAGTTAGACGCACTCGATCGAATTATACACTTTATATATGTTCGATATTGCTATTATAAGCCTGCAATTCTTGGCAAATATTTATGTGAGCAAATGCACATTGGTTCAGTAGTGACTCTTGTTAGTACTTCCTCTCATACTCCCTATTTATTACCCCGTATAAATAGATCAATCAGAATGTTGCAGTTGAATTACTTAAGTTTAAATTAAAAATAATATACCTATTTGGACCAATCAAGTGAAGGAGTTCCAACTTTTTTGGAAATAGTTAAATATCGTATTTTGAGAAATAATTTGAGTGAATATATAATGCTCTCCATAATGGTGTAAATGGTTTGTGGATATACTCCGGTCTCCGGTATTATTATTAATGTTGGATGACCAGTTGAAATGAATTGTTTCGTTCCTCTTATTTACTTATCATCAATTTATGTTTAAACTACCTAATTGTTTAATTACCGTTTTCAATTGACCCATCTTGACAAGGTACAACATCTTGGTGGTATCGTAGAATTTTACTTATATAGTACGTACACATTTGAGGACGCTAAGAGCCCCTTTACTAACAGGAATACTTTTTGTATTTCTAGAAAACTAGAAAACTAAAGGAACAAACTGGAAAACGTATTTATCTATTTATTCTCCAAAATTGAAAAAAAAAAACATGTCTCTAATTTTCCTCATAAGGTGGAGAAGACAATTTCCGGTGTTTTCCGAAATTGACATACTCAGTGTTACAATGCGCCCTCAAAAATCCTCATAATAAATAAGTTTCTAACACTAACTCATACCCATAGATCGTGAAAAAAAAATTGTGGGATTCAAAAAAATTCCCCCAATTTAACATCTGAGCTTAAAATAAAGAATAATTAAAATCTTGAAAACTGACATTTTTTGTTGCGGTTGTAGTAATATCAGCAACAAAAAATATACGACAACAACAACTAATGCATGAAGTTCGAGAGATCGTTGTGGATGCAATTTAGTATGATTATCATATTTGAGATGCCAAAGTACCACTAGCATTATGTATTTATTTTCAAGATAAAATAGCTCTTATTAAAAAATGTCACTTATTAAGAGTACTTTGTTCGTGGATTATCATTTTTGTACACTTTTTGTGGTATTTCAAATATTTCTAATTACGTGTACTTTATTTTGCATTATGCATACATATTAGATTTTTAGCGGTGTCGAATTGTATTTGTCATTTTTTTCCGTTTTTGATTCTATCGGGTTTCAATTTCTGAATGTAAACACTTTTTTATGGTTTCGAAAAATGAAATGAAAAAAAAAAGAAAATTTGGAAAATATGTATTCATATTTGGAAAATGAAATAAAAAGAAAAAGAAAATGGAAACATGAAAGTGAAGAAATGATCGAGTAAATGGGCCCTAAATATTTTGGAAAATTTCTCAGTAAAACATTTTGGACTTCCAAAATTGGACTGTCATGTTTTTGTACGTTTCTGAAATAGGAATACTTACTGCTATAGCAGGTATTTGTCCCTGCAATTTATAGGTGTTTGTCCTTGTAATTTACTCAAAATGAGTTCATTGTTTAAAGTCTATTGGCAATACTAGACTTTAAACATGGAAAATATTTTCCAAACTTGACAGTGATTACATTACAGACTTATTTTGGAATTTCAAAATGTTTTTTCTCCCACTTCATATATGTTCCAAATTATATTTCTTACACTATGTCTGACATGCCTTTTTCAAGAGAGCAGATTGTTCTGATATTGTTTGAGAACGGTTGACACTGATGAAGTCATTACAGGGAATAATTTAGGGTCATGGAGTAAATTGTACGTCCCACAATGAACTCAGATCATGTTTTGACTTTGCACATGGATTAAGAAAATCATAATTATACGACTTAAAGTTGCACAGATGAAAGAAAAAGAAGAGCGAGTAAATGCTAAAAAAAAGAAAGGTTTGTGTTAAGATATGAGGTTCCATCCTAAAAAGTTAACCTGATAATAGGAGTAATCCAAAGCCTTATATAATGTTTTATAGCTTTCCGGTGTGGGACAAATACTTTAACACGCTCTCTCAGCCCAAACCGGGCTGAACAATGTCGGGGTGTATAAATGGTCCAAACAGAGTATTTACAAGCTACTCATAATCATGAGTGCTAAACAAGCAGTCAAACCACAACCAGAATAGGTTCTGATATCATGCCAAGACCTGGGGTTTCATCCTAAAAGGTTAACGTGATAGACGGAGTAACCCAAAACCTTATATAGTGTTTTATTGTTTTATAGTTTTCTGGTGTGAGACAAATCTTACCCATGTACTAAAGCACAGAGAGACTGTTTCGAGATGATACATAGTGAAAATCGCATGGACTGACTGTTACTTCGTAATAAAGAAGTGTAGACAGTTTAGTGAGCCATTTTACTTTATTCCATCTATCATATTCCCAAACCAAAAAATAATGAGTTTTGTAATAAAATGGAAAAAATTTATTTTGGGACATCCCACCTCAATATTCCTTCAAACAAGTCCGGAGCAGCAAGTAGTACAGTGCATGATATGAAAACGTGGGAGAGGAATTGACATATACCAGATGTGTAATAACTCATACCTAATCAGTTGCATGCAAGCTCAACAACATACAGACAAACTCCACCATCTTCAATTCATAGTACCAAACTTGAGAAGAAAAACAAAAGAAAAAAACTATGGATCATTGATCATGCATGCAACAATGCAAATTCAAGGGTGGATATGATCTGATATTATGATGCACATCAGCACATGCATATATATCATGCATGCCCAACATATATGCTTCTGGCACTGCATATTTTTTGAGTGGCCATCTTCTTCCCTGTTTGGCACACACTGTATAGCTCCGTCCGGCCTCTTCTTCATTTCATGTCATCCTTAAAACATGAGTTTGGCCGATGATGGCGACATCGCCCGCCTTACATGCACGGCAACCGGCCGCAAAGGTTGATTCGTGGCAACTGAATTTCCCCAACATTTTCTTACATCATATCCCAAACAAAACAAAATAAACAGAGAATTGATCGAACACTAATAATCGACATATATGGTTGTGCTAGTGTGTGGCTGAGGTTGCTTTTGTTAGGCATTATTATTAGAAGATCCTCAGCCACTCGAAACTGATCTCCAAAGCACACAGCTGGCGGGTGACATGGACAGAAGCCTTCAGTGCACGTTGTAAATATATATATATGAAGATTAAATCAAATTAGCTAGATCATATGAACGATGTTTGAAGAGATTAGACCAATTCAAGTGAAAACATACGAAGTACTTAATTAATTAATGATCATGCCTGAATTCATCCACATGCCATTATAATAAGGCTAGCTTGCACACGGTCAAAAACTATATGCAACATTTTAATACGGGGTAAAATAATGATGATAGAGTTCTACTACCTCAGTAATATATATATCTTCCCGTTTAAAGTAGGTGAGATTAAGAACAGTGAAAAAGAATATAAATTACTGAGGGTATGATGAGAAGATAATGAATAGTGTGCTGGATTGAAGTATAAATCCAAAAAAGGCAGTTTCAATAGTGTTTTATTTTCAATTTTTTTGATAATATGATGAGAAGATTTAGAAATTAGAAGATATAAATGTTACACGCGGGAAGAGAAAGTGGAAAAATATGAATCTTACGGCGGAAGTATTATACTCCCTCCAACCTCCGTCCCATTTTAGTTAGCCAAACTTGACTTTTCAAGTCAATGACGTCTAACTTTGACCGATTATATATTTATATGGAGAAAGTATTAATAATATGAAAATGATATGAAAATGTTCTTTATTAAAAATACTATCATAAATATATAAAATTATTAAATTTTGCATAAATATATTAGTTAAAATAATTGATCAAAGTTTACCATCTTTGACCGGAAAAGTCAAATATGACTAAGTAAATTGGGACGGAGCCACGGAGGTAGTATGAGTAAAACATGGATAAGTTTTTGTTGTATCATTTTTTGTTCCCGAAATAGGACTTGTGAATTCATATATTACGGCAAGTACGTTTTAATAGAAACGTGTTCGACCAATCTTATTTTTAATTTTTTTCTATGTTTTTCTCTTGTGTTAAGCAATTTTTTTAATACTACCTAGATACTACTCTGTATTAGATATTGTCTAGTTAGAAAATCTATGAAATAAGGAAACAAAAAAAAATCATATACTTAAGATTTAGAGAATAAGACATGAATAATACGAGTATCTAGTACTAAAAATTAACTTACAAAAAAGAGACCTTTCGTTTAAATTTCCAAAAAAGACTAAAACGTGTAAGGGGATCATTACACCCTTGCCGGCCACTTGTCCCATTACTATATACTACAGTGACTAACGCTATAGTGACAAACATCATAGTGACCACCGTCCGTCCGTCCAGTGACCATCGTCCTCCCGTTCAGTTACAAACGTACGATCGTCTAGTGACCAGTCTATCTGTCGAGTGACCATTGTCTGCCCGTCCAGTGACATTTTAATATTAGTCACATTTCAATATTTGTTACATTTTAGTATTAGCCACATTATCATATTACTATTAGTCACATTTTAATATTAATCACATTTTAATATAAGTTAGGGAAATCTGCAATTTTTGTCCCGTAATTTTCGACCGTTTTCATTATTAGTCCTGCAACTTTAGTCACTTGCAAATTTAGTCAACTAATTAATATTTGTGATTCAAAGACTTTCTTCCGGAAAAGTACACTTTTTGGCGATAGTATACCTTAAAAGATGTCACCAGCGTCGAATTTTTATGCCGGAAAGTGTACTTTCCATGGAAAAATACTTAAATTACAAAGATTTATTAGCTACAAGATCAAATTTGCAAGTGATTAAATATACAGTACCGAATAACGATAACAACCGAAAGTAACGAACTAAAATTGCAAATCTCCCATATTAGTTACATTTTAATATTAGCTACATTTTAAGTTCTAACATGTCAGGCGGTAGAAAATCTGTTGATTTAGGTAATCTCCCAGACTCCCACGCAACCATAAAAAAGGAAAATTGTGATGATTGTGAGACCAAGAATGACCCTAGAGATGTCATGTCCAACAAACAAATGGCGAACTCTTGCGGCAACACCAAGGCGCTTTCTAAATCAAGAAGTCCTTCCCAATATTGATGAAGAGTTGGAGGACGACAACACCAGGGAGGAGGCACCGGTTGGAGGTACCCCCGACGAAGAACAAGGGAGCGGGGCCGATTCTTCCAAACAACCCGTGAAGAAGGTAACACTTCCAAAGTTCGCTCTCATCTTTTTATATAGTTTCATTTTACAAAGGTTTAGGATCCGGCGGATAGCAAGTGGTATGCACATTGAGTGTCAGGGGCGGGGGGGTACGACACTTTGAGTAGGCACTTGAGCTCGAGGCACCCCGCAAAGGTGGCAAGGAAGAAGGGAAATGCACGCAAGCGTAAATATCGAGGTTTTCAAATGACCAACTATATATTTGATATTTTGTTTATAACGAGTTGCATTTGAACATAATGTTTGAATTAATATGTGAAGAAAACCTCTTTTTTATTTTTTCTGAAAGTCTTGCTTTGCGTGCTTAACCTCAAGATTCTTTAGATCCGCAATTTCGAAACTATATGCGCAAAACAATTAAAAAAGAAGTTATTAAATAATATACTTTGAAAAAGGAAAAAATTAATTCATTTTTTCGCAAATTTTCAAGGCTGGTTGTATAAGCAATGGCAAAACAAGAAATGTCAATGCCGGTTTCAACGGTTGGCATGGAACAAGAGTTTAATGAAACCGGCATTCCGGCAACATCCTAATCGATTATAGAACGAGGTTAAGCGCACATCTTTTGAGAAGCTCATTTAATTTCATGATTGGTTGAAAGACTGTCGGCAAACTCAAGAAATTAAATAAATTTTCATTTCATTTTTAATGTGTACTACCTCCGTTTCTAAAAATGCTTCCCGGTTTGACTTGGCACGCTTATTAAGAAACTGGAATAACGTGGAAATGTATGGTTGTGTTTGTGTAAGAAAAAGGTAAAATAAATGTGAGTCACACAAATTGTCCAAAAAGGGAAAGTGGGAAGTATTTTTGGGAACGGCCCAAAAGGGAAAGTGGGAAGTATTTTTGAGAACGGAGGGAGAAATATTTTTGTATTATTTAATATTAAATAATAATATTAAAAAAAAAAAAGATCTGCTGCTTGAACTGACCAGGTACCCAGGACCGGTTGGGTACCCTGGGACCCAGAATATCCGGGTCAAATCCACTTATCTAGGTATTTCTATCCTGAGGCCGCCCAGTCTGGAACGAGATCGGACTGAGTTCACCCCTATTAATAAGCTACAAACAAGTATCAACAAACGGGCTCATAGTTATACAATGAGCGTAACGCACGTGCTAGTTTATGATTTTAACCTTGCGATCTTTTCTATAACAAACACTGCCACTCATAATAAATTAAAGAGTTTCATTAAGGGAAAGTTCCCGAAATGGGACTAAAAAAGTTCGAAAATTCCAAAATAGGACTGCCATGTTTTTATTCCCAAAATAGGACTAATTACTGCCAATTTTGGAAAATACTGCCATGTTTGAAGTATGGTACTACCAAAACATGGCAGTAATTAGTCCTATTTTGGGAATAAAAACATGGAAGTACTATTTTGGAATTTTCAAACTTTTTTAGTCCCATTTTGGGTAATATCTCTTTCATTAAAGAATGACATGAAACAGTGGCATAAATACCATCATAGTTATCATTTAGGAGTATAAATATTAATACTTCAAATACGTACACATAATATAAACTAAAACTTAAAAGAGAAAATAAATAGAAATCACAATCAACAATTTACCCCGTGTACCAACTTTTTCAACAAAGGATTCTAGATGCAGTGCAACTGCAATTGATCTGCCACAACTAAAATGTTAAATCAGTAGTAACAATCATCATGCAATTGTTAGTTGGAAGAGAAGGGATAAAACTGGATGTAGCCCAAGTGCCCAACACAGGGTAGGTACTGAGGTACACTACATATACACCACCTTGAGAGACCACTAAAGCAAGAAAATGTGTGCTCAGTAAGCTAAGACGGCCAGAGGCAGAGCCATATTTCTGCTAATGCATGTGTGCATCCTTTGGGATATATTCAACCATTTTTATGTTTAGTCCAATTTTAACAATATGCACTGAAATTTTTTCCATCAACGAGTGCATGGTAAAACTTGCATGCTGACGTGTAAAATTGAGTCCCCAATTAACCCAAAGAACAACTTCTATGCCCACATGCAAACGGTAAAGCTTTCGATCTAATCTAGCTTAACTAATCAAATGTAGGATGCTTTCGTGGGGGGCTTAAGATGCCTGAAAATGTTAGGCTTGTATTAACATTTAGCACCTCTGTTTAATCATGAGCCTCAAAACGAAGCATTTTGATTATGCAAACAGAAAAGAGAATAATTAAAACCGTACTTGCTCCTTACAGATGTTTCAAAAGCAAAACAAGATCGAAAAGTTGGCGCTCAGAAACATTACCCTTGCAGATTGTACGAGGGGCTAGCCTCCATCTGATAAACTGCGTATCAAAACAATCTCCAGAACTAGAAAGCACATTACAAGTATACAAGATGCCATGGAAGCCATTACATTGCCCAGACTGATTTGAAGTTCACTAAAGACAATCAAACTAATGCATCACCTTTTAAAATGGACTCCAACATTGATATGAAGATGCAATAAAGAATAAAACTCTTTTAAGGATAACAAAAACTAAGCCTACTGTAAATAGCAAATAAGCTCTATTATAAAGGTACAAATTTGTATTAAATGAGAACAAAAATACTTAATATGATTTCATGTTAATAATTAAGCAGGTTCAGAGTTCAGACTAATAGATGCTTCATACACTTTGAATTGGCAAAACTTATGGCACTGGTAACCTGATAGATGCTTCCCTTGTATGCACTTTAAAGTCCCTTCCGCCATAACAAATCTGCAACTGAAATGCTCACCTGTAGCTAATAGTTATGTGAGTAAAAGTGAAAATGATTCTTTAGATTTGAGTAACTTAGTTCAGTTATAGTGTTTCTAAAATCGATAATCAAGCAATATAATTTTACAAGTTACATCATCAATAAATATAAGATTTATTGTGAATGATTCCAGATAAGCACCCAACAGCACTTTCCAATTACCAAATATTGAAATACATTTTTGCAAAAAACATTGGACACAAAACATTTTTGCACTTATGTATACTTTTCTTCCTTTGCCTTCTTTCGTGCCAAAAACCGTTCCTTAGCTGCAGCAAGAGCATCACCACTTCTTTTATGATGAGCAGCAAGTTTTGGTTGATCAGCAGTTTCATCTACAGCAGGAGGTGTATCTTCAACTGCTGGTCCGGTTATGGCTTTTTCTTCGGACAATATTGCGATAGAAGTAGGCCTTGTCTCTGCCTGTAGAGATTCCTCCACCTGTCCTGTCTTCACCGTTCCAGACATATTGGGAGACTCTGAGCTTGAGGGTTGGATAAAAGTCTCTTTATTCGGTTGAACTGCCACCTCTTCATGCGGCTTCTTAGTCTTGTCTGTCTTTGACCCTCCTTCTCCCCCAAAAGCAACATTCCTTGCAAGGTTGAAGTAAAAGTCACTTATGTCCGCCTTCTTTGTTACAACATCCTTTGCTTCACGTAGCTCGCGAAGACGCTCTTCATGCAGCCACTTTTCCTGTTCTTGAAGTTTCTTCTTGTATGCACTTGTGAGAAATTTCTCCTTGTCAGCATACAGATGGTCATCTTTGCTTCTCTCTTTGGCAAGTTTCCTCTCATACACTATCTCATGTTCACGTTCCCTTTGCTTGGCTTTCTCCATCAGTTGGCGGATATATTTTGGCTTCCTCTCCTCAAGGTCTTGTGCGTGAGGTTGAACAGCCTTCTTTTTCATGCTGTCATATACTCCATCATAATCAAATACTGATGGATCCTCTTCTAGAGCTTTCTTATGCTGCTCCTCAATATCTTTCAGAGCCTTGTTCTTGGAAGCTTGGCGAGAAATCTCTTTCTCAACGTCATCATCATTCCCGTCACCAAAACCAAGTGCAGTGGGGAGCGGAGGTCTTGTAGGTTGTTTCTTCTTCTGTGAAGGTGGAACTCTAAGCTGTAATCCATAACCTGATTTTTTCATCATCTTTAAATGTCCTGCAATTTCAGTGCTTCAGTAAAGTAGTTGTTTTCCACTAGTATGTAACCCTTAACCATTTCAACTGGTAATTATTTATTACTATATTGATCCATGGACTAGCACTGGCAGGGCAGGGCCGGTCCTCAGAAAATGGGGGACCCTGTGCAACAACAAAAATTGGACCTTTTTTCCATGACCAGATGGTATTTCTTTGGAAACATAATTACTACCTAAAGTTAATACTTAGTATTTAATTAATAACATACTTATACCAATCCCTTAAATCTTAATTGATTAATTGTTTAACACAATTATTCTCAATTCAATTACTTAATAAGTAATAAATTACTACAATAAAAATAAACAAATGACAACAACGCAAGTAGGCATTTAGGCAACAAAAAAAAATCTATCAAAGAATCAAATCAAAGAATCAAAGAATCGGCCGTGTTTTGAAATCAAAGTACAAAGAATCAGAGAAATCAGAAAATCATAGGTCTTAGTTGCTTACCGGTTACTGCAGGTAGCGTGGACAGTGGACTGCCGGACTGGTAGGGCAGGGCGTCGTGCTGACGGTGCGGTCGTAGTCCTGGAGACTGGAGGCGGGGCGTCGCTTCGTGGTGGAAAGCTGGATCCTGGCCGTGGATAGCGGCGTTCGTCAACTCGTCGGCGCTTTCAGGCTTCAGCTTTCTCTTCGTTCGTTCTGTATTTCCTTCGGTCTTCCGCACTTGTCTGGGCCGGCCCTGACCACTGGTTCTACTTTGTATTCGTCGGGCCGAGTAATACTAATTGGGCCTTCCAAAATTCTGGTCGAATGAGCTGGGTGCACCTGTCCTGGGCCGGCCCTGACCACTGGTTCTACTTTGTATTCGTATCCTACCGTACGACGCATGAGAAATAATCATATGCAACAATATATGACACAAGATAAAAATTAAATATTTGAAATATTAAATTAATACGTAAATTAACTTTAGATGCATATATTAGAGTGACATGTGTAATATTACCAATATAAACATATAAATGAAAACAACGTTCCTTCAAAATTTTGGAATAATAACAATTTAAATACAACATTAATTGTTACATTGGTACTTTTCCCATCTGCATCACATATAGCTATTTTCAAACCCCGGGATTAGTGCCATGTGAAAGCGCAACATATATCTTATCATGACTAAAAACAGGTTTTTCCAAGACTAATCCAACATTGGACAATGATTGTGTTTGACTCTTATTTATCGTCATAGCATATATGAGACAATCAAAGTAAATTATCTTCTTACAAACTTGAAAGGCAATCTCACATTAGATGGAGTCAAAAACATTCTAGGTATCAAAACCTTCTCACCTGCACTCAACCATGTCAAAACTTTTGCTTCCAAAATATGTTTACCTAATCTGGTAATAACCATTGTTCTAAAACTCGCTAGGCGCTAGTCAGGCGGTTGAGGGGCACCTAGCGCCTAGGCGGCCGACTAGACCGATTTTTTGGCCGACTAGACCGATTTTTTAGCCGACTAGGCCGATTAGTGCTCTACAGTTAGGACCGACTAGGCTGATTAATCGGTCTGACTAGTCCGATTTTTAGAACAGTGGTAATAACCATCTTAATCCCATTACAAAGCCTTTGAGAATGATCAGTGTTCCTCATTAGCATCACCGATGTTCCAACTTTAAGATGCAGTTCATGATTTGGAACTTCTGAAGCTTAACTCAATTCAAAAATTCTGGAGTATGGATATCCACTAAAAAGTCGGGATTTGAATCTGATTTACACGAGCTATCAGTACTAAGGTAGGTTTTTATCTCATAACCATTTAAGGAAAGCATGTAATCTCATTGATGGAATCAACAACTTGGAGAGTGGGTGCCAATATTGCTCTCTTTTCTAAATAATTGGGATCTTCATGAACGACATCAAAGGAAGGATAAATGCATTCAACCATTTTTGCTATAGGATCATCAAAATCTTATAACAAAAACTCATCTGGAATCTCAATCTGCACAAAGCCATCGTTTGGTCCTCCAACAGTGCCAAGAAAACTTGATCAAATATTCTGACTGCTCGTCAGCTTGGAAATGAAAAAGCCTCAAGTTTTTGTCAAACGCATGACATGTGTATGTTGCCACAAATAAAAAGAATTTATAGATGCATTCACAATATCTTACCGTGTTCCTTATTTATGCACCATTGGAGCTTCATCCCAAACTATAAGCTTACATTTGACCAGAAGTTCAGCAAGCGCACTACCTTGTTTTATATTACACGTAGAATCTTCGTTGGGATGCATTGGAATCTTGAACCGAGAATGTGCAGTACGATCTCCTGGAAGCAATAGCGATGCGATTCCACTTGATGCAACATTCAATACTATATCTCCCTTAGAACGTATAACAGCAGAAAGAGTCGTCCATACAAAAAAAAATCCAATGCCACCATATCCATACACAAAAAGACTCCACCTCTATTTGAATCAATAGCATTCATTATCCTATCATAGACAGTTCTTTGTTCTACAGTTAGATTACCCAGCAGCTCTTTGTGGTCCTCTGCCAACTTTACTCGGTCATACCTCAACTCATCATACACCAATCGATTGGTATTCATTTGATTAAAATCTATTATCAAGACATGCTATGAGGTGAAATTCTTCTAAACTCCTTCCACAACTGCGTATGTAACATTTTTTGGATTTCATACAAAGTATAATTAATAATACATTTGTATAACAATCAGCAATTAATAGAGCAACAAATAGTTTACGCAAAAAATGTGTTGTTACCCAAAAGCTTGCTTCTTTGATTGCATCTATATATTCCTTACCATCGTTTAGTAGACCTAAAGCATAACAAGCATCACGAAATGTGTCATATTAGACACCATCAACCTTCTTTATATCTTCAAAACATGTTGGTCCACGAACAACATTCAAAAGACATCTAAGAAAGAATAATTCACCGCAAGGTGCCACATAAAATAGTCTAAAATAAACAACTTGTTCATTAGGCAAGTGAAAGATTAACTCTCCACCCCAACACTGAATCTCAAATGCTAAAGTTCTCCATGCAGCCTCACATAATGAAATGTATCTGCAATCATAATACATCTTGACTTCATCCATATCATTCTCTACATGTTCTTCATTCACACTTTGGTAGAATGTTGCAGTTATTCTATCATTTCCTTTATTTACATATTTGAATAAATATTTTATAGATCTAGACTGATTACACCACTTCACATTCATATGTGCTACATATTTGAGCAATAAATATCTATTATGAGGCACGACATATCTGTTATCCATCTACACTCCATTTTTTTGAAGCGGTTCTCCCATCATGTCTTCTCCTATACACGGGATACCCATCTTCATCCAAAGTGGTGTGCTCCACAAATCTTTTCGGACAATGTTTCGAACATCTACCATGCAAGGAGACTTCTTTCTCAAATATCTGAACGGTCCATGCATCATAAAGTCCTTCACAACATTAAAATACTCAGAATCGCTTTCTTCACAATGAATTTCGGCTGAAATGATCCGTTGTTGCTAGGTCTTCAGTTTTCTCAAGAAGCAACAATATGTGGGCATGTGGCAATCCACGCTTTTGGGACTCAGTGGTGTATATAACTACAATATAACATTGCAAAACAAAAGCGGTCATTAGTTGAAACAACTATTACGAATAGAATTAGTAATTATAATAACAATAAACTTAAATGTTACAATTTTTAAAATACCTGCTTTTACAGTGCCAAATATCTTGTTGCGACGGAAATCATTGATCAAACCATCCAACTTCATCTTAAAAACTCGAAAAATAATATCAAGTCGATCCTCTGGTTTGAGATTACGCTCATCAAGGTATCACTTTTTTAGATGAAGCGTTAGATGAGAACTCTCCCAGCAATTCCCTTTTCGCACCCTAAGCATCATTTCTGTTGTTCTCCGTGTCCTTACACTTCACAAGACTTGACACCTCATTATCAGAGGAACCAAGCTATTTGTAATAACAATTATGCGCTGCACATAGCCCCAAAAAAGTTGTGCTTTAATTTTTAATTCGGCAAATACCTTTTGGAGAAGATATCTGACTCCTAGATATTATGAATATAAGCGAAAAATCAATCCCTGAACCATTCTTGTATACAACACCAAATAAGAAACCATACACTAGTTAAAATCACCTGGTCGTTACCATGTTTCCCAGCGAATTTCTCAATTAGTGCAGCGTCCTTGGTAAACCTCATAGCGCTGAAAATAGAGCTGTAGTTGTTGAGATTCTCCTTTTTCAATTGTATCTTAAGCAACATACTTGAATCCATAACTGCCTCAATCTCCACGGGGATAAAGCCGCTCCCACGACCGGTCTAATGTATCATGAAAACATAATACTTTTTATCTTGTTTTTATACAATATATCATATATCAAAAAAATCTTATTACTTACACTTATGAGTGTGTCTCTGCGATCAACCGCTTCTCTTCCAAACAACTCTTGTCCAAATCGATTCCAAATAATTACTGGTGCATTACCAGTGGAATCAACGACACAGATTATGACCATATACCTACTCATTCAAATTATGACTAAGTTATTCTTTCTCTTGCACTTAAATTCATATTATAACAAAAGTTAATTAGGAAATGTGATAACACATTACCTAGGTACACCATCAGCAAAACTCCTGTCACAATTTGTACAGTAGAATTCTGAATTGGTTTTGTCAAGTTTCTTAGGACATTGTGGACACGACAAATACCACCAATTATCACCACTCTCTATCGCAACAACCTTTGCATGGATCCATTAACTCCCAACCTGTAAAAGTATTTAAATTTAAATTTTGAAAAACAAACAAAACAAAAAATATGGAATTGAAAATGATACCTTTTTAGTCTCGTAGAGTGCATCTATGGTTTTTGACGACCCAGTCAAGTTGTTAAGTTTTTCAAAAATAGGTATGCGTGAGTTTGATGTCACCGAAAATGTAGTGATACTTGGCAACTGAATATTCTTCTCAGCCATACTTCCAAAAAGAAAAAAATTCAACAAATGATTAAACCTCAATTGAAAATGATTTATATTAACTTATTCATTTATTAACGTCAAATGAATCTGGTCAAACGTTTTAGGGAAGATCAAATGGATTACATATTCATTTGAAGTTGAAAAATGAATAAGTTAATATAAAGCATTTTCAATTGAGGTTTAATCATGTGTTGCTTTTTTTCTTTTCGGAAGTATGGCCGAGAGGAATATTCAGTTGTCAAGTATCACTACATTTTCGGTGACATCAAACTCACGCATGCCTATTTTTGAAGAACTTAATAACTTGACTAGGCCGTCGAAAACCATAGATGCACTCTACGAGACTAAAGAGGTATCATTTTCAATTCCATATTTTTTGTTTTGTTTGTTCTTCAAAATTAAATTTAAATACGTTTACAGGTTGGGAGTTACTAGGTCCATGCAAAGGTTGTTGCGATAGAGAGTGGTGATAATTGGTGGTATTTGTCCTGTCCACAATGTCCTAAGAAACTTGACAAAACCAATTCAGAATTCTATTCAGAATTTTACTGTACAAATTGTGACAAGAGTTTTGCTGATGGTGTACCTAGGTAATGTGTTATCACATTTCCTAATTAACTTTTGTTATAATATGAATTTAAGTGGAAAAGAAAGAATAACTTAGTCATAATTGGAATGAGTAGGTATAAAGGTCATAATCCGTGTCGTCGATTCCACTGGTAATGCACCAGTAATTATTTGGAATCGGGTTGGACAAGAGTTGTTTAGAAGAGAAGCGGTTGATTGCAAAGACACACTCATAAGTGTAAGTAATAAGATTTTTGTAATATATGATA